TTCAATGACAAATATAATGTTTTGAGGCAGCAATGATTGAGGGAAACAGAATGCTGAGCTACATTGAGCTCAAATCCAGTTGAATTCAGATGCAATATAATACAAAATTGCGTTTGTATAGTACCTTTCAAGTTGGGAGGACATTCCAATGCACTGATTCCCCCAAAGTCATGCCGAAGCTCAAATTATGAGTCCTTCAAGTCTCCGTATTTGCCCAGTTATGTGTGGTTGCAGAAGACCATAGTATGTTAGCATCAGCAAAACATTAACTAGCACAAAATTGATTGAAGACTTTCTACCATATTTTTAGTGACTGACGTTAGTCAATAGAGTTGTCCTGCATCTAATCTATCTTACAACATTCCAAAAAATCATAACAAACTTTATTCCTTGTTTTTATTTGGCCACTCTCCTATGCCAGCCCTCCCTGCCCTCCCCCACCTGTGATCCCAACCCCCAGCTCTGGGCCAAAGCCCTGATGGCCCAAAGCCTTGAGTCATCCTCTCGACGTGAAATAAACAAATATAATTTGTTGGTGTTGTTTTAAAAGGCTCGGTATATCCATCCTCACTCGCTAACAGCAAATCTTTTTCTCTCTATTAACTCGGGCAGATGAATGACTTCAACAGGGAGATAAACAGATTACTTAACTTGTCTTGTTCATAATGAATGAGGAATGATCACATTTAGTCACTGTCCAGGGTTTGGAGGTTCTCTTTCCACTGATAAAATACTCATGCTGGGCTCACGTTACATGAGTGACTGACAAGACTGAAACGCTTCTTCTGTTGGAATACTATAATAATCCTTGCATTTGATGTAGCACCTTATCACATCTTTGAGACATCTCAAAGCGCTTTACAGAATATAGTTGTAAAGTGGATTGACTGTGTATTTTGTACGTAAAACGCAGCAGCCAATAGCTTAGTGGTTAGAGCATTCCTGTAGCTTAGTGGTTAGAGCATTCACCTCGCAAATGAGAGGACCTGGGTTTGATTCCCGGGCTGGGCAAGACATTGGGCAAATTTTCTTACTCCACACACCTTTGTTTACCTCGCAGTAAGTGGTAACCTGGTTTTTAGTCGATTGTCGGATGCTTTTCCGGCAGTAATAATCCCTTCAAAAAAATAATAATAGTAAAAAAATCGGACACTTAATCTCCGACTGTTTGTGGGCTACTGATTATTACTCAATTGAAAGCAATCTGCCAATCGACTAACAACTGGGTTCCTACTTACTAGGTAAACAGAGGTAGGTGGAAAACTCTTCAAATAATATTAATTTGGGCCTCGCAGTCTACTAAGGTTGACCACCCTTAACAAAGACTTTACCATTGATATAGAGTTTAACAAGCTTAGACTCAGGATTTGACTACGGATGCTCCACACACGGCATTTCCATCCCTCTTTCCCCTGCATCTCAGCCCAGTAGAAGGGGAACTGGGGGTTGCCCCATTTACCTGACCAGAACATAATCAAATCCAGCACAGACTGATTCGGCGAAAGGCTCTTCCTCATTCTCTCTTTAAGCTTCCCACAAGCAAGTTATGTGAAACGAGTTGACGTCCGTTGACCTATGCCCATAATTTGGTAACAAATGGACACTTTTGCGCAGCGAGGAAGTAGAAAAAATCGAACCACAGAAATTTACAACAACATCTTGCCCCTTACTCAGGCTAGCGTCCCAGAGCGCTTGAAGAAGTTCATTTGACCCAGAGGGGGTGCCTTTCTGAGTTTGATATGGACTTTGAACTTAGGTAGAGGGGGCGTGAGGAAGGTTTTGTACACCTGAACTTGCTAATCTTCATTGGGGAGTGTTAAATACTGGCACGGGGTGGGCAAAACCACAAATTGTTCTCTTGTTGGCATTGAAATCTCTCGTTTGTTACTAGTGGGCAGTGGAGGGGGGTGGGGGAGTCTCCAAAAATTAAGAAAATCCAAACTTGTTCCTCTCTCTGATACTAAATTACACAGATTTCAAAGCTTCAATTGATCTCTCAGCAAAGGGCAAGTTGGGTTGTGCGTGCTAATGAAAGCTTTGGTGTTGTGTTTTATCAGTGCTGCTTTAGCTTCTCACTCATTAATGTTCCGATATGCTTCAGCGCTTTCAATATGTGAGCACATTGGGGATTAGAGTGGGTCGTACACTCTGAGCCAGAGGCTGGTAGGCAAGAAGAACAATTTCTCATTCCCTTCTGATGAAGTCAATTTATTTCTCTCTAACCACACCCCCCCCCCTCACCCCACCCCCATACCCATCAAATACTCCTCTACTGACTGATGCTGGGCTTCCTACAGGTTCCCAATCCACCCACCGCCCTCCAGCATCTTGTGTGTTTGAGACAATCTCCTGGATTCCTTTTCATTATTTGTCTCCCCTCTTTATTTATCTCTAAATCCCACCTGAAAGCCCATGGCACCTCCGTCTCCCCCTTAACCCTGGTTTGACATCACCACTGTACAGTACTCCAAGATGTTATCCTATGTGATGGGACGGAGTGACCCACGAGAGAGAAGATTTGTTACCTGATTGGGCCAGCTGTGAATTGGGGGAATTGTCCAGGCATGCATTTGATGGGCATTTGAGTCTATTTCCACCTTTTTCCTTTATGGATCTATGCTCATCCACTCAGGCCACTGGAAACTAAAGCCCATTGCCACCCTGTGAGTGCATGCTGCTCAGCCTGTATGTGAGGTTTGCAGTCGCAGCCAAAAACTGACCTCTTGTAATGGTTGAGCCTCATCTTTGGTTGCACTGGTGCTAGCATCATTGACATTGCTTATTTTGAAGTCAAATGAAAGTGCGTAGACTCTAACCAATATGCTACAGGTAAGGTAGCAATTTGGTTAGAGCATTCGCCTCATAAGCGAGAAGATCTTGGTTCGATTTCTGGGCAGGGACAAATGTTAGACAAGTTTCCTTACTCGACACACCTCTGTTTACCTAGCAGTAAGTAGCAACTCGGTTGTTAGTCAATTGGCAAATAGTGTTTCCGGGAGTAATAATCCCTTAAAAAAAGAAATTTGGTCATTCTATCCACGACTGTTTGTGGGACACTGCTGTGCACACTTGGCTGCCGCAATTCACCCATAAAATACACAGTCAATTCACTTTACAGTATATTCTTTGAAGCTTGTTGAAATGTCTCTAAGACGTGATAAGGCGCTATATCAAATGCAAGGATGATTATTCTTATTATTGTAAATTCATCAAGTTGGTCTGACAGTCTTTGCTGGGTGACTTCTTCCTTGAAAAAGAGTAACTGAGATCAACAAGTGGGAATTTTGCCCTTGCGAAAGAATTTTGCACAACTCATGTCCTGTGGTGATATTCTAGATTATTCATTTTATCTGCACTTCCTTCCTAGTGTTGCACAATAACTTGTACAAAATTTGAGGTTACCTATAATTTGCCATATCCGTTCCTCGTTCAGTGAGGAGGTGAGAGGCTGAAGATTTCCTTGGATCTATGTTCCAAAGGAAACGAAAACCCATGGCCATTATTTAGTACAAGATGGTTGAGATTTATGTTAGGGTTGAAGTTGCAGCCTACAAAATACACCATCACTATACTTTGTACTGTATGCTGTGTTGCAGTTTGAGACGTGCTCCTGACATGAATTGGCGCTAAATCAAGCAATGCTGCTAACCTTATCTCCGTTATAAGCCCATGTTCGAGGACTGCTCTCAGGAATGCTCTGACACCAACACTACAGAGCGAGAGGATAGCGCCTGTGGGCTTTTCACATGGTGAGCTTCTCAGTCTTGCGTTATAACCAAGGTATTTACCAAGCAGAGGTCAAACCCTTCCCCACAAGATGCCCACTAAACCACAGAGCGGATACCTTTGTTAAACATGGACATCTTATCACTTTAGTGGAGCATTTTCACTCACTCTATGGATGTTGGCCTATGTCTGTCTCTTTACTGTATTCCTATCATTTCTCTCACTGATCAGTAGAGGTGCTGAGTACCAACTTTGACAATATCCCATGGACATCAATAGGCCCAAGGAGAAAACCTTTCATCTACAAAATGCACAGTCCATTCACTCAGTATATTTTGCAAAACACTTTGAGACGTCTCGAAGAAGTGATATGCTATATCAAATGCAAGGTCATTAGTATTATTATGAAAATTCCCTAAAAACTGAGTTAAAGCAAAGGTGCTTTCTTAAAAATTCAATGTTATTTGCATATTTATATTAGTCCACAAATGCCTCACAGTCAGAAGATGGTGGGTGTGAGCCCCACATGTCAGGACTTTGAGCTCACAGACTAGACTTACACCTCAGTGTAGTACTGGGGGGCACTGTCTTTCGGGCAAGACTTCAAATACCATCTGCCAGTGCTCAGTTGGGTGTTAAAGATCACCGTATTTGAAAACAGAAGGGAATTTCGAAATCCTGTTGGTCCTTCATCTCGTGGCACAGTTCACCTACAAAAGCAGTCGTTGGATTTCACAGTAATTACTTGTGAATTACTCGAACCCTCGTCCTCTATCCCTCCATCTTGCCCCTTCCTTCCCCATCTTCAAGTCGTGCCTGAAGACCTTCCTCTTTGACCTTGCCTACGGTCACCTCCCTCCAGTTCGGCATCAGTGTCCGCCACTGTCAAGCACTTTGGGACATTAGCCTGCATGAGTGGCGCTATTTAAAGGCAAGTTGGTGTTGTGAAACACTTTGAGACGCCTGAACAGAATAAGGTTCTTTCATTACCATTCCTTGCTCTCCCCTCTAACCCCAGCCCTGCTCTGTCTTTTTTTTATAGGTGCTCTCACCTCAAGCTTGCAGTGGAGAGACCCTGTCACATCCTTGACAACAGAACCATTTAAAAGAGTAATTAACATTCAGACTGATAAACGGCTGGTTTGTTAATTGGGCTGATTTACTCGTGGCTTTGTGTTATCGAACGGCGCCCTGTTCGGATGTTTTCATCAGCCTTTCACAGGTTGTCAGTGCTATCAGAGCAAAAATGCAGACTGGATTTAATGGACATGGATGGCTGCCCAACAGATAAAAGGCCGCACACGGCGAGATCCTGACAAGTTTACAGGTGTTTTCATCATCTCCATCACCATATCTTACCTGGCTATTTTGTGTAGCATTCTGAAAGTAATTAAATTGCTCCGTTATCTTTTCAGAAACGAAGAATATAACTCAACACAACACGTGTCTGGCCAATCAAATAATTTGGACGGAATTATAAAGAGCACGGAGGTGAGATACCACATCTTTGACATTACCCGCAGTGAAAGTGAGTTTTAATTAAACATGATGGCATTTAGAGCTACTTTCGCTGTTGGGTTATATTGTATTACTTGACTCTGAATTGTGGGAGGAACTAGTATGGGTACATTTGGTAACACATTCTTTGAGGCTGTTCCCAAGAGAAATTCAGTTAGTGAACCTAAAGCGTAAAGTAGCAGGCCTGAGGGAGCCCGCTGAAAATGAGCTATTCAATACCAATACAGAAAGCCTGACAAGCCATCTATTGTGTGGGAATTTTCCTCTCTGTGTGTCTCTCTTTCTTTATCAGCTCCATAATTGTCATCATAATCATTGCCGTCTTTAAGAGGTTGCAGAAGCCGTGTGATCTTGGAGGAAATTAGTCTTGACCAGTTGTCACATTCGGCTCCACTGATGTAAAGGAGAGTGTTATATCATCAATGGTTAAACTGTACTTACCACCTGCTTCTGGAGTAAATGGAGCATAGAAATCCCTGGAACAGGAGGCTGCCTGGATAGTTTTTTTCAGCTATGACTGAACCAATGTATTATGCCTTGTATTATGCCATCCAGAGTTAATGGCTGCTGACTTTCTATTGAGCTGAAATAATTGGGATACGCCAACAACTTGTCTGAATTTTCCTGTCTGATCCCTACCTCTGGTGGAGTTCGGATTTCGATCACTGATTCTCTTTGAACGATGGCATTAGTTGTAAGATTCTAAAATTGTAGGTTAAATTCTTGGAGGGGATGTAAAAGAAATTTGTTCCATTTTTCACTGAACTGTCTGGTGCCCATCCTATAATAATAATAATAATGATAATAATCCTTGCATTTGATATAGTGCTTTTCACATCTTCTCGATGTCTCAAAGTGCTTCACAGAATAGACTGTAAAGTGAATTGACTGTATATTTGTGGGCAAAATGCGGCAGCCAATTGCGCACAGCAGTGTCCCACAAACAGTCGTGGATTGAAAATGACTAATTTTTTTTTTGGAGGGATTTTTATTAGGCGTGTGGAGTAAGGAAACTTGCCCAAGGTTTTGCGCTGCCTGGAATTGAACCCAGGGGTCTGCGTGCAAGGCGAGTGCTCTAACCACTGAGCTACACGACTCCTACCCTCCAAGTGCTCCTCAGATTCCCAATACTCCCCTGGTAACTCTTGAGGTTCCCTGTTCCCCTCCCTATCCTCCTCGTGTCCTCTGGATGCTTCTGGTGGCCTCCCTGCCAACCCATTGCCTTCCTTACCGGCATATTATCCTCACAAGCCTCCAGTTGTCCTCCTACACATTTTTGCTTTTGCCAGACCACAGCGAAGCAGCTGTATTGTGTATTTATATGAATCTGTGGTTAGCTCAAAACTGTTTTCTGAATCCTTATAAGGGATAAGTAAATATTCCACTCGACACAATGCTTTTGTACTGTGTGTGTGGGTGTGTGTGTGTGGAGGTGGGAGGCAGAAGAGTACAAATGTTCATTATGCTTTCATATCCTACCAAAACTCACTAGATAGGCTCACACAGTAAAAATGAGCATTTGGCACCCTGAGGATGACTAATAAGTGTGTGATTGAACCCCACTATGAATCAGCATCATTAAGGGAAGAGGGCAGTTTAAGTGGGGAATTGGGGGAAGGGGAATGAGAGCGTGACTGGAGCAAGTCAGGGTATGATGATCCAGGGACATCTTATTACTTTGGGCTCTCTGGGGTAGAAGGGGTTAAGAGTAAGGAAAGCTACGGAGGAGCAAACTGGGCTTTACATGAAACTAGAGCTTGTTCCCTGGTTTGTGTAATTGAAAGACGGAATAAAAGAAGAAGGAAATGAAAAGAATTAAGTCCCACTTACTCACAAAAATGCTTTTGTTGGCTAGATATTTACAGTGCCTGTTCTGTAAAATCTTTATACCCACAAACAATAAATTTCAAGGCAGCTTTGTGTACCTATGTCTGGACTTCTCAAACCTTGATTGAGGTAAGCAGCTCCGAGAGCAGATGATGTTTCCCCCAGGCGCTGCCCTCAGATGCAGCTTCTCAATGTGCCTGGATATCAATGGACTCATCGGAAACTTCCAATCAGCTGTGGATTTCCTCTCAGCCAAACTAGCCTGACGTAAAACTATACACCCTGCCAAATCCATCCTGGGCCCCCAGCTTTTCACTCTGTATATTAATCAAGTGGGTGTACAAATCGAGGGCATCCTGTACATCCTGGTGTCTCCTGATGAGACTATTTTTAGGTGTGTAGAAGAAAGCAGAAAATTGCAGAGACGCACATAAAAGTAGTTGGCGAAGCTTTGCCTGAACGTATTCTATGCTGCGAGCCATCAGACTTCCTCTCACTATCCATTCCCAACATTTACTTCATTACCTCACACCTCCTTACCTATCCTCCCACTCCATCACCCACTGCCTCCGCTCGACTGGCTCCGGCCTCCTGTTTGTCCCTCGTCCCCTCCGCTCCGTCATCTGAGCCTTCAACCACTACATCCCAAAACTCTGGAACTCTCTCCCTCAATCCCTCCGCCTTGCTCCCTCCCTCCCCACCTTCAAATCCCGCCTCAAGACTTTCCTTTTTGATCGTGTTTATGGTCACCTCCCCACTCCCTCTCCCCCTTGACTCGTTGTCGGTCTCTGCCACTGTGAAGCTCTCTGGGATGCTACCCTGTGTGAAGGGCGCTATATAAAAGCAAGTTGTTGCTGTAAAAGCGAGTTGTTGTGGTTGTTATCTAATTTCAGAAATTAAACTTGGTTTTTTCTTTCACAACATTTTGGACGGAGGGGAAACAGATAGGAACACTGTCTAAATGGAGCTGGACCCTGTCCCACTGTGAAGTCTCAAACCATCACTGAAGCCAAGCAGACAATTATAGAGGTCTGCTGGCCTCTGAGCCTCCAAAACACCCTTTGGCGTTCAATCATTACCTTCTGCTTCCTCTTAATTTGCTATTAATTCAATTTAATTTAATGTGTAGCTCAGAGAGCTGGCACAGTCACAATGGCCAAATGGCCTTCTGTGATTTTAAGAGTCTATGATTCTTTAATAATCCCACATATCAATAATATTGTAAGCTGGCACTGGCCAAGGTTGGTAAATTTAAGCACTAGTGGATGATTGCACACTGGCTATTAAAAAGGAAATATTCTCCATTACCTGGTTTTACTAATATTCAATTTAATGACAAAATGGCTGTTTGTGGGACATTTCTGTGCGCAAATTGGCTGCCTTGCTGGCCCATAAATACACAGTCACTTCACTTTGTTTTGCCCACAAAATATACAGTCAGTTCACTTTACAGTATATTCTGTGAAACGCTTTGAGATGTCTCCACCACGTGATAAGGTTCTATATCAAATGTAAGTATTATTACTCTTATTCACAGCATATCCTGTGAAGCGCTTTAGGACGTCCTCTCCACGTGACAGGCACTGTACCAAATGCAAGGATTGTTATTATTATGTTATTATTAATAGATGTACATTGTGTACGAAAACCCTCCAGGGCTGATGGAAAGAGTTCCTTTTAAGAGGATAATGTGTCTCTCCCTTATCTCCTGAATCTCTTTAAAGCTGATCTCTCTTCTCTATCGAGCCCAGCTCCCCAGCCCAGAGCCAGCATCTCCAGGAGAAGCAGTAAAATTTCATGTTAGTCTGTACAGGATATCCTCATTTCACTTCAAATCAGACTTCCTAGATAGGAAATTAGTGAAACGCACACTTCCTCCAGCCATTCATTCTTACATACTGTATTAGAATATTATCCTAATTCTGAAACTAGACTTTGTTTTTCTTTCACAAAGCGCACAGTGATCCTGGATCCTGTGGCACTCTCAATGCCAAGAATAACTAAGCTTGCGTTCATTTTCACAGTGTCACACATGTCGGTATTACTTTCAGAAAGTTTTGTCTCGTTCTTGTAGAAACTTATAGAACATGGCGTAATACAATTGAATACATTTCAATACTGTGTTCTTCAGAGCCAATGTCTAGCTTGATTATTACTGAATTTACACAAATCTTGTTTGTATTGTATTGGGAAAGCTAGGGCAAGACTCGGTGTGCAAGGATACCACCAATTTCTTGAAAATATAATGTTGTAATCTTGTAATATTAGATGTTACAGGGTCAGGTATTCTAGGTAACGGGAATCAATGGGGAACAATGCCTTAATGGATTGGCCCATCGGAATGTCAGCTGCTGTGTTTGCCTGGAGAAATCTGAATGACTATTTCGACTTAGACAAGTCGTAGTTTTAAAAGTGGATTTAATGAAATCAGAGTTTTAAATGTACTCTGTTTTTCTATGTTAACATGATAAAGGTGACTGACTGTAAACAGTATCTCATGAAGTTAGTGGCTGAGACAGCAGAGAGTGGCGACAGATTGTACTGGCCTACCATTGGATACGTCAGAGACTTCCCACAGGCTAATGGATCGTCCAGCAAACCTAGTCAGTGAGGTTTGAGCTAGGGATGAGCAATCCAACTCATTAGGTGGTAAGAAATAGCAACTGTCCTGCTTCTGTTAGTTATAATGGTCTAACACGAAATGTGTTCAGTGCAGCCCGAAACTGCTCCTACTGAGTACAAGCCCATAAACAGTGAACAAGCAATCAAACTCCACAACATAAGATGCTCATTGTGGGAAATGGGAAGCCATAATTGGCAAGAGGGGAAGTTACTCTTTTGAGGTTGAGATTTTCATATATTTTTGGAGCATTCCCAGCTATGGAATGACTCCAAGAGCCGAAATTACTTTTACTGGAGAAACAAGGAATGATACAGATCTTCAAAATGTTTAAGAGTGCAGATGAAGTTGCTGTATGTGTAAAATTTGCAGGAACAAAAACATTAATGAGATCGAGCAAGATTAGATATTAGATTTTCATATCATAATCCTTGCATTTAATGTAGCACCTCAACACATCATCAAAAGGTCTTAAGGAGCTTCACGGAATCTATTGGTAATTTGCTGTGCTCAAATTGTCTGCCAG